GATAATCATTAATTAATCTAGTATTCCGTTTTCCATGTTATTGCGGCATGGCTATCCTTTACTTACAGTTATATGTACAATCTACAGCATAAGTTTAGGGACATAGCTGAGTTAAATGTTTAACAGTTATACAGTGTTGTATAACTGTTGTTTTAAACATACCTTTGGCACAAATACAAAACAGAGGGTCAGAGTTGTGCAAAAAATGATAAATACGGCTGTTATGGCAAACGTTGCATCTTGATGATCTCGAATAACGGAGGTGATAGCCACTCCGAGAATAGAGAGTATTACAACATTATAAACAGACATCCCTAAAAGAGATCAATGAAAAGTAAAGAAAAACAAGTACATTAGCTGGCGTTACACTACAGTATTTATTAATTTTTTCATTTATTTATTCATTCATTTTGTCCACTCGTGACGTTGTTCTATTTTGCTAACGAAAATGAATGGGTTTAAATATCGATAAGCAACACTGGGAAAATCTGAAGTCATTTAGATTTAGATAGTTACATGATTGGAGCGTAATATCTCGTTTTTAACAAACTATAGAAAAGATGTCAAATTTAGATTTACAGCTACAGTCGAACCTCCCGACCACCCGAAATATCAAGTCTTGGTGGTCACTTAAGGAAGGTGGTCGCTTATCAGAGGTCAGGGCATGGGGGTTCATATTTCGGCTAATTCTGCAAAATGGTGACCTGACCCTTTCGCCAACGCTTATCGAAATCTATAGGAACAACTTTAAACGGCTTGTTGAAGGTAAAAAAGAAATTGCGATCTATGGTGATTGTTTTATATTTCGGGAAACACTTCGGGAGTTCCATTTAAGCAACATCTACATTTGTTGAAACAATTTTCAGTTTCCGCTCATGAGTCTGTTAAGTGGTCGCCTACGGGACGGTTAAAGAGAGTTTAAAATTATGAACAAGCATCTCTAAAAGTGGTCGCTTACGAGAGGTGGTCACTAACAAGAGGTACATGGCCGCTTACGAGGTGGTCGCAGAGGATGGTTCCGACTGTGTGCTATTGCCAAATCCTAGAGTTTGATCATAGATGCCGCACCAAATCCAATCAGTAAAACTCTCCTTGTTTTCAGTAAAAATTTTCCGAGACGCTTTTACTTCGATATTTCCGTAGGTAAATCAGCCAAAGCAGAACTTACCAATATAACGCGAGTCGTTCAAGGCTGGAATTGTAACCGCGCGTGTTTCCCACGCGAGAAAGACTCCAAAGACCAGTAGGAGGCCTTTGAAAGCGTACACAGCTCCCAGCCAATAAGAAAGGTTCTTCGATTCACAATGCTCCAGCTTAGGAATGATTTCCGTATCGTCCTCCAGTCGCATCTAAGTAAGAAAACTATGCCTTTAGTTTAACACGATCTCATTTCTTTTCTTTTTTCTTTTCTTTCTCTTTTTCATTTCCTTTTCGCTTTTTTCTATCGATCCGATCCACCAAAGTAACTCCAATGCCGACAGTTTATAGGAGAAATTAAGGGAAACAAAGATTCAGAGAGTACAAAGGGAAATAATTTCAGAATCATTTGCACCTTCACTTCTGCTACAATTACCCCGCATTGTGGAGGAACAATACCACACCTCTTCTATAAATCTCTGATAGCCTGTGTGCATTGGCTCGATCCCACTCCACAAAGACAAGAGAAGAATATCTAACAACACAATGGCTCCAACTATCAGGAACAAATGCTCATCACGAATAACCTGGGAGAAAAAAAAGATTAAAGTTCGACTCTCATCACGATTAAAAAACTGAGGCAACGATGGGGACAACGATGCAAACAGTATCAACAATTTGTTCGAGGTTGGCAGAGTGGCAAATTCAAAATTAGAGAGTGGAATGTGGAGAATGTGGAATGGGAAGGAAAGAGGGGGGAGGCCTGAAAAACAATCTTTGTTGTTGAAAGCTGGTAAAAGGGACTTAGCCATGTTTCCCACCACACTTCTAGTGCGACCCTACTGGTTCACGGAAGATTAGAATCTTACCTTCTTCTTGGGAGTTATACTTTTAAAGATGGCATGGACACGCCATGTTTTAGCGAACATTGCACCAAATGCTAGAGTGAAGCCAATGGACATGACCCAAGCCCGAGCCTTGACGTAAACACAAAAATAACAATGATATATAAATGAAATTAGTCAGTAATCAGCAAAATTAAGGGGAAGTTTGACTTTTACAGCAGTTTAAAGGCTCACTCGAATTCTATTGTCATAATAGCTAAGCTTAACCGAAGCGAGCAATACTTAATTTCAACTTCTTTACACGCCAATCCTTGGATAAATCCAGTAAGAAGTTAGGGGAAAGTTTTTCACCACAGAGAGAAATTAAAATATTTTCACTAAACGGCGAAAACCAGCCGATTGCAATTTTCTTTTTGCCGTTTAGGGAATGGCCTTTTTATACACTGTCACGCTAATTCGTTGAGAGTAGTTATACTCCTAATCTCTTCATGTCATGGAAGTTGGAAGGTGTGGCCGCGTAGGCTTGAGTGCATACACACTTTACATTAACCAATTTTTCAGTAGTTTCAACTTCCAACCCAAGCAATTAACAGATATATCAACGCTTACAATGCAGACTTTCCCGTATTCCTCAGTAGATATCAAGCCGCCGTCCAATCCAAATAGAATCACTGAGAAATAAGTCATCATGCAACCCACCACGATAGCGTTGTTGAGGCGAGGGCTAGACATCTTTATTATCCTGTTGGTGTAAAATAATACCATTAGCCAGGAAATTAACTCACAGCAATGTCCAGTAGGAGAAAGAGAAATAAGCCAAATTTTTCCTTTTGAAATTCTTTTCGCATGCCTTAATGCTTATAACTAATTAACGTCCTATTCTCTCGAAAATGAGCTCTCTAATGATACCGTCTTTCTTCTAAGTCAAACGCTTCCCAATTAGTATATGCAAAATTGATACAAAGGAATGAATTTTCCCTGACGCTCTCTCCTAATCTTTCGACTGTGGAGGCCGTCATATCGATAAGCACAATCTTTAGAGCAACAATCCTTTTTGATGTCTGACAACCGCTTGCAGACGTCCGATACCGACATGTAGAACCTGCAAAGTCCAGGATATTGATAAATTACTCTGGAAATTTCTCTGAGCTTTCTGAAGTGAACTAGTCCTAATATTTGTAGGTATGGAAATAATGCCTTTACTTTAAAGAACATTTAGGTAAATATTTCGTTAAAATAATGTCGTATCTATAACTACCTTCTTTCTCGATACCAAAAGTTTATTAGGAGAAACACAAGTCCAAGGAAAATTCCAAGAACAGCTAAAGTTGCCATGAAGCCATAGAGTGCTCTAGAAATGAATTTCAGCTTCTCGCTCGTGATAGTACGGTCTCGTGGTGGTCCAGAGCCTCCATGAAATAATAAACCAATAATTTTAGGAATGGAGTATTTATCCGTGTGAGGATTGCTTCGTGAGGTCTATATCATAATTATGGTCTTCTTCTGCTATGATCTTAGCTTAACAGTGTAAGGTTATGTAGGGATAAAACGCTCACACAATGAGCTCAAAAAGTTTGAGAAATATTTGCAGATGATCTGGTCATTGTAACTAATTTTCATCATTTTCGAGAAAAAAAGAAAACAAGCTCCAAGGTCATGGAACACACGAAGTACTGTCCATAAACATGCAATCATTAAAATTATTGGCCAGGGTAACTTTTAAGAAGCTTCCTATTCCAACTCCAACACTAAAACCAATTTTATTGATCTATACAAAGTAATATCAGATCTAACCTTGCCACCTAATAGGTTCTTTCTTATTCATGATGACAGAATCAGTGGCGGGGTCGTAGACAGCAACTCGTTTGCTTTCAACACCTTCATTTACAATCAAAATAAAATGATCTGATTACAGACCTCTAAAGATTTGATTGACAACGTGAAAGGTCAAATTATCTTAACACAAATTTCCTCTCGTAAGTGGTTGCTAAAATTCTTTTGGTTTTTGTTTATTCGTTCAATGTTTCTTTTAACTTTGTTTTGTTATTGATGTGTTGTTGTTGTCGCTGTTGATGATGTTTCTGTAGTTCTGATGTTTCTTTTTGCTTTGTTTTTTTGTCTATGTTTTATGTTTCTTTTTGTACATTCTTTTCTTCTTTCAAAAGTTAATGAAACTTGTAAGGCGTTTTATTATGACGTTGTTAATGGCAAAGGTTCACTGAGGTATAACATTGCAACTCCACACTAAAATAAAAAAACCGAGACCTCAAGATTTTTTAAAGACAGAAAAGTCCGTGTCTCTTAAAATTGTTTAAACTTGATGAGGTGTTCAAGCTTACCAAAAGCGTTCTGAATAAGATTTGCATAGCTATGGTATACTCTTAGTCACAAAGGGTACCCGTCCTACCTTGTAGCTGTTCGATTTGGATGTATCCAATTCTTTCTCCATTCTCTGTGAAGGACACGGGACCCTAAGGCAAGACAAATCTACCTTTCAATTTATGTAGCATAGGGGAAAAACCGTTGAGGACTGTGTAAAGGAGTGGAGGGTAAATTTTCTCCTCTTTCCCCCCCCCCCTCCATTTTCCAGCAAAGTTAGATAATTTAAAAGACACGATGTTTGTGAAATGTTGACTGCCTTTCGTTAATTCCTTACCGTAACACCCAAAAAGCTGGTATTCTTAAGCGCTTCTTGAACGACGTCTGCCATTTCTTTGTCTGTGTAAGTGAAATTTTCCAAAAATTTCCCACGGTCTGTGATACCAAGTGCAAAGGAAGAATCAAAGTTTATTACGTTGTTGGCTACTAGAAACTTAAAGAATAAACGGTAAACCCACCTGCAAGCCGCTGTATGGATTTGTTGAGGGCCAAAGCGATCGCCCAGGTCGCGTCATATGCAAAAGAGGACTCGTGAACTGCGCTTATGTTAGTTAAGTTCTTGAATTTATTTGCATATTGTTGAGCAGTCTAAGAAAAAATGCAGCAAAATTGACATCCAGCATTTCAATTCAAAGTGATGAAGATAGGTTTTTAATAACAATACCGTAAACGTGATATCCTTATAAACGAGGTAATTATAAGAACCGAACGTGTTTGACATATAGGAAAAGTTCCGCCACTTCTGTACTGTCTTCGTTAAAAACTTAATCTAAATAGGAAAGTGGCTCATTTTTACCTTAGTCTGTTCATTTTTGCTGATTAGTATTTAAAGGGGTCTCAATGAGTCCTAACCGATTATAGAGTGCAAATGGACCAATCCTATGTCGTTACTTGAAAATTACCCAGATTTCGAAATTTTATGAACATCCGGCAGAAATGATGTCATCTGAGGTTAGCGGAAATGACGTCACAGAATGACAGAAAAGACCAGGGCTGCGCTCAGCCAACTTTACAAGTGGTAAATAGCTTGTTGATCTGGTCGCGGCTCAGGACAAGACCAACAAACTGAAATCTTGACCAGGTTTTCTTTCAATAAAACGTATCAGTAAAGATTATTGACGAAACCATAACATTTTAATCACTACTTCATTAGTTGGCGATTGTTTTTGTTGTAGAGTACTGAGACGGTCTCACTTTGATTTCACACAGAATGACTTGTAAAATTACTACTTGGCTGATTGCAGCCCTGGTCTTTTTTGTAATTCTATGACGTTATTTTCTCTAACCATGTGTGGGTTCGTTTCCGCCGGATGTTCTATGGCCGCTAAAAATTTCAAAACGTGGGTAATTTCTAAATAGCGACTTATGATCGGTCCATTTACGCACATGGTACAAAATAGTGCTCTATGATTAGTTTAATGAGCCCCATAACTACTCTAGTCCAACTAAAACATTTAGTATCCGAATTGATGCGACATCCAGATCGATATCATAGTATTTTTCAAACTACTTTCACTTCCTTTTATTTTCAAATTTAAGACCTCTTTATTTCGCTAAGAGATTACTCACCCAGCCAGATATAGTCTTGTTCTGAGAAGTTATGTCATCTTCATTGAGCTTCATATGATCTGTCGCAAGATATCCTTTCACTGCCTGGCTCATCTCACTTGGAGAGCAATCGACATTCTCCTCATCCAGTCGTTTCTTCCACCAATTGTCATCGTACCACCCGATGATTATCCATACGAATCGCTCGCCAAACATTTGTTTTTTGTAAGCCTAGAAGGAAAGTGGATTTAGTACCGAATTTCTGTGATAACAACTTAAGCGAAATACTGGGCACCGGGAAGTTACGAAATACGTCAAAATTACAGATATCCAAATCGCTTTATCATAACAGCTAGTTGTTAAACTGACTTTTCGGTTGCATTTTTGCGTCACAAAAATCGAGCTCGAATGAAATCTTCATGATGAGTTAATTACAGGTAATTCAGTATAAGTTATATAAAAATTAATCGATGGTGCAGATCAGACCACTGAAGGAAAATTACGAACTGAGAAATTGTTCATTTGAGCTGGTCTTTTGACACCATCACCAAGAAAATGAAAGATTGAAACTTTCTTTACAAACAATCTCTAATGTGATTTGAGGCTAGTTTTATCGAGCGTAATATATAAGCTTAAAATGTCAGAAAATTACCTCGCAGAAAACTTGTCTCGCACCAGACTCGTAGAAACTTCCGATGATGATCCTCGCTCCTTTTTCCTAGAAGTAAAAAGTTACTGTAATTAAATTTCCAAAAAACTCAAAAGTTACAGCCAAATCACGGTCAACGATTACTACTCCGCAATAATAACTGTGTTACCATGATGTTCGCTAACTGGCGAGCTGGTTTCCCGGTGAAGCTTTCTCCTGCTACAACCTCAACCTTCATTTTAGCAAGTAGCTTATGCAGTTCTTTTGTGGGCTAAAAGGAAAAAATCAAACTGGCAGTTTGTCTGTGACCCTTTGAATCTCTATCGAAGTGGAGATAACCGCATTTTATTCTTCACTCAGGGTTTCCTTATCATTAAATATTGAGTCATTAAATATCACGTTTCATCTATTCATTTGTTCATCATAAATGATTGCAAGTCTAGCAGTTCCTTTGGTGCTGATAGAAGAATGATCTTGTTTAGCAATGTAGCACTTACTTTGTCTGCACACAAGTTAAAATATCGTGTGCCGCAATATGTAATAGCCATACCTGTGAAAATATTCCCGATGGTTCGTTCTGATGTAGTGTGGCGACTCTTTTCCAATCGTACTTGGACAAGAGCGCGGCACGTGCTGGGTTGAACGCTAAGTCTGACGAAATAGTGCGGAAAAATCGAGGGTAAAGTTCACGGTTGCTTAAAGCTGGAGACGTGGACGCGTAGGACACCTGAAAACCAACCACGGAAATCAGAACTTTTTTAGAGGCCTCCAATAAAAAAAAAATAAAGATTTTTTGTCATGTGTGTTTGATATCGCCAATCAGCCGGCTGACAGCTGCTAACACGTCACTCGCCTTTTGCGCCAATCGGTCAGGTTGATTAATGAACGACCAAGGCCTTCAACATTCTCAATCCATGGTTATTTGTCGGAATCTTCGCGGATTATGGGTGCTAAAACACTGAAAAATCCGTATCGCTTACAGACAGTGATGTTCAAACTTTCTTAGATGGAGAAGAGCCAAAATACGAAACGAAAATCCGAAAGTTACGTATTTGTTGGCTTTGGTAAAGGTAGTTCTCGTGGCCGAGAACGAAAATGACAGCTGGAAGATTTGCCAGAGGCCGCTTTTGGCTATTTACCTGAAAGATTTCTTCTGTTGGTAAGGACAAAGTCAATAACTAAGAATTTTGTATCTTAAAAATCACACCCATTTTTATTTTTTGTAGTAAATCAACGCATTTTTTTCTTCTTGAGCCTTAGCGCCGACGCGGTACGATTTTTATTCGGGGATTGTCGAACATTTTATCTTTATTTAAAAATGAAGTCAAATTTTTTTGTCAGTAAAAAGCTACTGTGTTTATATAACAAAGCCTTTGGCTCGTGCTTCTCGACGCTTCTCGCGTGTTCTTAAAAATTCTCAAGTGCTTAGACAACTTAACAATGCACTCGGCGATTTTTTTATTTCTTTATTAATCATATATATATATATCACGCAGAGGAACCGAGAGAGAAGTTGTCCATAACTTAACAACAAGATAAGCTCATTTTTTTGTTTTGTTTTGTATCGTTTTTAGAACTGCACTTTGTGGGGCTACTCAAACTTATCACAATATCACGGAACAGATAGCGAGTTGCGTTACAAGAGTTTATGCATTTGTGATCTATGATGTATCCCGCGACGGCTTTTGCTAGTGTTTAAAATTAAACTGTATTTATTTATTTACAGTTCAAGATATGCTCAAATCTTACCTGTACTAAATTCCAAAATTTAGCGGTTTCGGCTATCGGCTGAGAGACTGGAGAGAAAGCTGCCCCGAGAAGCATTATTTTGTTCGGCTCTTTGTAGATGTGGTCGTATAGCATATGCATTCCCACTCCAGGGTCACACTGAAATTGTCAAATAAAATCCATGAAATACAAGATATTGGTCTCAAGATACCCCTGAAACAATTTTGGAAATCAGTGTGTATCAAAGTTACCCGGCCTGAAAAGGATTTTTTTCTGTATTCTTCAAAGATGCTGCGCTACTCTCACGACTAATAGGATGAAATTAAAGCAAGTTTCCACCTCTACGTTCGCGCTTTCGCGCACTTTAAGCTTTGCGCCGATTGGTTGTGGTGGTTCCTACAGTTAACAATTATTCACCGAAGTGGAGGTGAATAGCGAGGGCGAAAAGCACTTTTCTTTTGTGTGGTATATACTAATTGTAATTATTGCCATATTTGATTTAAAAGTGCTTTTAATCGGTCAGGAATTCACAGTAATTTAACACAGACAGACCTTTGTATCGTTCAATACCATCTCCAGTCTATATCCAGGTAAGACATCTTTTCGGTTATTGATTTGTTTCAGAGCTAAATCCATTACCAACTTAACAGCAAATCCACCGTCCCAGCAAGGTCCGCTTAATGGTGAATAGGAACCAATCGTTAAGACTTTCAAGTCATCAGACGAAACTACAAAGACAGCAATCCAAGTAAATGTCATTAAAAATAGAAGATTTGCTTAGAGAACATGAAAACATTAAAAGCCTCAGTGGAGGGTGACTGAGAAACTTTATATATTCATACTTTGCCAAAAAGAGCTCAATATAAACAAACAAAAGGATCCTTAAAAAAACCCTTGCGTCTTTTCAGTGATAGCTACAGGAATATTTTAGAGTACGTCAGAACACTGAGAAACTTTGATGATGCCTGGTTTCGAAAATTGCTGTCAACTTATTTCAGTTCGTTATGCTTATTATTATTATTCGCAAATAACAAAGAAATTCTGTCGCTATATTTGGTTCCATTTTCTCCAGCTTCATAATTTCTTTGGAAACTCTGGTTCGGTAAGTTATAAACGAAAAAGCATCAGGATGGCTCAGGGATTGCTAAAGATGAAGAATACTAAAAAAACAAACACGAATGGTAACTGGAGGTTCAAATTTGAATTTTAAGCCTTTCACGACGAGCAAACTACAGTTTAGTCCTTAATAAATTCTCCTGTTGAAAAGCCAGAGATTGTTTAAAGATTGCTTTTGCCACGAGATACCATGCTACTGGGTCACGTAACGCAACTAGAATCTTCGTTATCGGATAACAGAGTTTACTTCAGTCATTAGAAGACATGCACACAACCAAATTTGCAATCTAAGATATCGCGGTAGAAAAATTCCCATCCAACAACGTTGCCTTGTTTTACAATTTCTACAATAGTGTACATGTCACTGGAACGTATTGTTTGAAAGGCATACACCACAAAAGAACAACACACGAGACTAAAGAAATGATGTCGTTGTTAAGGTAAGACGAAAGTTTGCGCTTTCGTCCTCCGGATTTGTTTCAGTTGCCACTCACCTTCGCTCAAAGTACAACATAAAAAAACGAACAAAGATTTCGCAAAGACTATCCTCAGATCCGTCATGTTTTAAGGACCAATTTCTAATTGCCTTCACTCGATACAAATCTGTGGTATTTTAGCGTGACTAACCCAGCAGGGAAGTTTTGGTGTTCATAATACAAGTGTTATCTTTCTCCAGGAGAGCTTTTAGTAATATATGCCACATGTACAGCAAACGAAAAACGTCAGCACAGTGAAGCTTTCCCATCCAAGTGAACTCATTCAAAACAGACACTGTTGTGTTGTGTGATAGCATTCCTTTTGCACTTTGTTGTCACTTTTCGCATAAATCCGCTTTCAAGCAAACGTATCTGTCATTCAAGCACCCTCAAGGTCATGTAAACATATAAAACAATTCCAATCTGACTGAGCTATTTAAGAATACCTTAAGGAGCCTTTTCCGCCAAATTGCTTTGCTATTTTTACTAATATGGTTGCCATGAATAAGCCTCTGTAGTCTCCAGACTCGTGCAGGAAACAATGTGTCCGTCAATGAATCAGGCTTTTGTCCTAGTCTCAAGTCAATAAGGACTGAATCCAAATTTAATCTTTACTTTAGCATACCTCACGCCTCATTGTTTTTTAAAAACTATAATTAATTTACGGCAATGATACAATAGGCATCGTATGTTGAACACGATAATACCCGATACCACGTTTTCATATCCGCTAGACTGGGCTGGATTCTCCGTTAGTGAAACGAGAGAAAGAGTGGACGCGTAAAACGGAAGGAGCCGCTTCCATGGCAACCGCAACCACATTTGTCGCTCGAACATTCTTTCGCTGGACTCCACAGCCCTAAACAGTTTCCACATCAGAAGGCCACAGGCTCGAGGGTTTACGTAAATTCACAACGACATTTTAAGGGTTTATGTGAATTTTGTTTTGTTCATTTTCAATATATCATTCATGCAGTCTAAGGTTTATCAAGGTCGTCTCTCAAAAGGCATTAACTTATAATATACCCAGACACTTTTCGAAAGATGAGCCCACGTACAAAGTCCGAACATGAAAGAAAGGCGGAAGTCGAGCCTGTGTCTGTTTCTTTCTGATACGAAAGCTTTCCATAACGCCTTCCGTTGAAAACTTTGGGAGGGTTTTTCAGTAAAAATCACTAGATATGTTTCAGGAGTCTTAGGTTCATTGCAATGTCTTGTTTACATTTCGGTTACGAAAGCGGAACAGTGGTTTACGCCGCGAAATGTAATACCGACGCAAAGTAAATTAACGTTGATTTCTGGTATGTCGCGTTACTACATGGAGACGGTTTTATAGAAAACAATGCAAATGTTTTCGGCAAAACTAAAAACGAATCAAAGCGAATCGAAGGTAAAACAAAGAAAAATAAAATACAATTATTCAAATATTGGACGGTTTATTTATTAACCTTCTAGAAGTATTAAGAACTTCTCAGTTCTATGCCGTCTGGCTCGTTCTTATGCGTGATCTCTCGCATTCCTTTTCAAAGCGATCTCTGTTTTCAAAAACCACTAATTCTCTAAATCATCTCCTCAAACTTTGCCAGCTTCTTTGCCAACTTATTTCCTCCTTCTAAATAGTGCCGAAGAATGTTGGCAAGTTGACTCTTTCTTAATTGGCTTTAGCTCTAACGAGTCTTTCAATTTTTCTATTCCGTTTCTTCGGAGGTCTCAGGGGCAGCACTGTACCATGGACTTGTTTCATCGTAATTGTTCAAGTCGCAGTATGGTACGTCCTTGGTCATTATCTCCTCCAGTTTTCCTACCAAGTCTGCGAAACTTGGGCGAGTTGTTGGATCTTCCCTCCAGCATTCAGTCATCAACTCATATCTAAAAGTGACAAATATAAATGCAGGCGTTTACAACGTAGGGATGTCGCAATTCAAAGTTCTCACAAGGACATCGATGCACTAAATTTGATACCACACACGTATAACCGTGATTCCAATGCAATTCATTGCAGAGTAATAATCTGATGTCAAACACGTCAAACGATGGTCCTCTCTGTACGCCTGAGTAGAAGTCGCAAATGAACGCAGTAATTAACTTCGCAGATAACACTCTGGCAATAACTCTCTCTCAAGCAACAACGCACGAGGTACTATTGTAGCCCTTTTGATCTCAAGCGTCACTAATGTCTAACCAAACTTAATCTTTAACTTAACAACAGTTACAACAAAAGCAGTTGTGATTGAGTTTCGATGCAGATGAAGTTATTTGATTGATCTAACAGGTGCCTTTTGATCGTCTCGTCTGATCGTTTGAGTGAAAATACTTCTTAGATGGACTTTTATTGGGGATAGTTACCGACGTTTCGATAAGCTAGGCGGAAGTCATCATCAGAGTTAGGCGAGGAGTTATTAGTCAATTAATCGAGTCTTAAAAATTCTGGTTGGTGAGAACTCAGCATGTGAGTAAAGTAAAACGGAGAAAAGAAAAAACCAAAAAAATAAATTTAAAAAGCGGAAAAAAATAAAAAGAGCAACTGTGGAGATAACCATGGTAATAGCAAACACAGCTAACCATGACAAAGGCAAATGCATCAATGATATTTTAAAAAATCATCCCCTAAAACGCTGTTGACCGTTACACAGTCATGATGCTTACACTTCATCAGAGCACATGTCAGGTCTCCCCATAAGATAACCTGTCTTCAGTAGCTTACACAATTGGGAATTAGTTAGCGTTGGGTATGGAACTCCTCCTGTGTAGAAGATGAGACGAAAATCACTACACCGGTATAAAGGAAACAAGTCCAACAATTATTGAAACAAAAAGATTTCGGTCTAGGTTGTAAAAGAAGCCACATTATTGGTTGATGTTTTAAGCAAACGACACGATCTCCTTATCTATAGGCATGGATGGCAAAGGCTCTAAAATAATTCACTTACGGCAAGGTTGATACAAAGCACTAAGAGGAAATAATAGGAAGTTATTTTCTCTTCAAAGCACGAAACACCAATGTATTCATAAAAGTACTTGCAATACCTACGACAAATATTGCAATTGTATATAATAAGCGTTAACATTTACCGTGCATTCAATTACAAAAAAAATGGTCACCGAATAAAACGGCTTTATTTGTCACGACGTGAAATAACTAACCCGGTTTGAATTGGACACACATACTATCAATCTATCATCTATCTACAAAAGCTGAGAAATCAAAGAGAATTTACCCATTGTAGCCATTTCCCATAAAAGCACTCCATAGGACCATCTGTGGAGGAAAAGAAGAAATGCCTCTTTAAAAGCTTTACACATTGCTCCTAATTCGAAAAAGAAATATCCCTCCAATACTATGATAAGTTTAATTGATATTTGTTTTGCTTTATTTTTCTTGTCCAATTTCACGAACCTGATGATATTTAACGAAGACATTTTCTTCGGCTTAAAAAACTCTTATACAGAGACGAATACCTACACATCACTTTTGGTAGTAAAAACACTGTAATAAATCGATTCTGGAGCCATCCATTTGATAGGGAGTTTCTTCGTCTTTTTGATGGTGTAAACGTCTTCATATACTTGACGCATCAGCCCAAAATCTGATACTTTAACTCGATTGTCATTGCCAACCAGAACATTACGGGCTGCTAGATCACGATGAACGAAACCCCTCTCGTCAAGATGATTCTAGAGAAGAAAAAAAGAAACTGGTGAACGGCATTTAAAAATTATTCAAGGTTACTTTCTTCAAATAACAGTTTGAAAAATCTGGACCCATCCCTTTCTTTCTTTTTTGTAACTTTATTTGGTCTTCACCGCTGACTTTTCATATCGTAAGATTATTCAGGAGATTTGAGAAATAAACTTGAAATTCATTCTTTGGTGAATCGCTTCTGCGTAACATTTATAGTATTCTTTCTTTTCACGTGTCTTTTTTTCAGGATTACAATCATACGTTAAACGGCAAAGACAAGGAATTTATTTCAATTTTTACTATTACAATTTGGTAGGGTAAATAACTTTGAAATAGAAATAACTGAAACATCAATAGAATAGTTGAGAGATATTATTGAATGAATTAATGATACCATTCCTCTTGCTATTTGTGCAGCAAAAGAAAGCAGCTGCCATGTGGAAAAGTCCTTCTCTCCTACTTTTCCTTGTTCTGTAGCTTCAGTTGAAACCAACTGTGATGGCTTTATCTCTGACTCGGTTTTCTTTGATAAATGTAGAAAAAAGAAAGAAAGAAAATATAAGCTAGATAAACAGATAAGTCCCACAAGAACCTTATTTTGTCATACATGTACTGATCAGTTTATTGAAAGGTTTGCATTGTGTCCTGAGCCACACAGCGTACATCCCACTTTTGAGTGTTAAAGAAAGAGTGTATAACTGGGGAAAAAAGCAAACGAACAATGAGCATCACTAGAGGCTTACTGCGTCGTAAATTGAATGTTTCTCCCTCGTAGTCTTTCGTTTTACCTAATTTCTCTCCTTCAGTTACATTTTATGTGCATATCCAATGTAACATATTTTTGTTGGGCGCAACCCCATTTTTTTTTTTTTTATTTGACTTACTCACTTGGCATTGATTGCTCTGTGGTTCTTTTTCCTCATAAAAATTCTCTGCTCGTTTTTCTTCTGTGGCCAGATACAGATTGATCTTAAGAACAATAAATAAACGTTTTTGAGAAATCAGAGGATCGCAGGATAAGAGAATAACAGAAAAACAACAACTTTCAGTATGCAATGTTTCTGAAAATGATTTGAGGCCTCGTCTGAAGTTTCACTTTATCCAACTATCGCAAAATTCTTAAACACACGCTTACGTACTTATCTGTCTCACTGGATTCTAACAATGAATTCAACTACTTGTGCATTTGCTAATGTCGAATATAAATCGTTTTTGTTTTTGTTTCGTTTTGTTTTTGAAGGGGAGAGGATGTAAGCATACCTGGATTGAGTACATCACAAATATGAGTGAGAAAAGTGGAAAACAGGTTTTATAAGACCCTGTCATTTTAAGAAGCGAATGTCGGTCAGAAAGTTATGACTGAACTTGAAAAGACCATAATTTGATCCACAATCTTCTGGTCCTTGTGCAAAGATAGCAATTGAAGAAATTGAAAAATTCCAAGCTTGGAAATATATTATGTGCTTGAATCAATGACTTCCGTGTACTTGTTAGTCGTCTCTAACAACTGAGATACGAAGCCTGAAGTTGAAAGCGAGCAGAAAAATTGTAGCAGCCCCCTTATAATGCCCCCTTGCAATTAAAATGTCTGGTTTGGGAAGCTGGATCTAAATTCTACTGAATATTCATTAAATATTTTCCCCACCGATTGCCTTTTCTTTCGTAACCAGTCTAACAAGTCACCATATGGAACATACTCCAACACCAGGAATTTGTGCTTGCGCAGTGTGGAACATCCAACAAGAGACACAATATTCGGGTGTGCAGCTAACAACTTCATTTGGGATATTTCATTACGAAAGTCTAACACTTGTTCCTCGCTTGAATCAACTAGGGAAAACATTAAGGTGTTAGAAGTTTAAACATTTTGTTCCACGGATTTCCCTTTTGGAGACGCGACGGCCTTTGAAAATGTATTTCCGTTTTATGTGAAATATAGCTAATTGAAATTTAGTTTAGTTGATTCGTTTTGAAAAGTTTTCTTTCACGTACAAACCAACATAATATATAGCTTGATGGATAACTTTTAAAATGTGAAGTCTACATTTCCAAACATATCGCCTTAACTACATAAATTTGGATGTTTCAGAGATGTTTAAGATAAAGTAAACTGAAGTAAAAAATTCGAAATTTGAAACAAAAATCGTCTTAAAAGCCTTAATAGGGTTTTAAGTACCTTGCAATTCTTTAACCGCCACCACGTGGTTTATGTCATTTTGCTGCTGTTTTTTTCCAGGGTCAAAAATTTCAATTCCTTGTCGTTTCTTAAGAGTGGCCTTATAGACCACGCCGAAGGCGCCGCGGCCCAGCTCCTCTTCGTATTCTATTTCCTCAGGAAGAATTTCCCATTTGTCAAGTGCGATAATTTCACGCGTATGCCTTATTGATCTAAGAAAAACAACCACAAAGTCAGTCTTTTAAGATAACCAGATGTGGCTCCTCCTTTGTCACAGATTGTTTGAAATTCTGAGGGGTACCAGAGATTAAAAATTTTATAACCTACACTTTCATATGGAATGTCTTTTCAAGACGCGTCTTGTGATAAAGACAGATTACTTTGTCGACTATTGGTTGGAAACGACCGTGATAGCAAGGAGTGTGACCGTCGAGATTCGTATGCACAGACTAGTGTTCTAAAAATTCCCACTGTCACGAAAAGAGCGAAATAATTGTTTCATATGTATACATCAGAAGTATTTTCTGTGTGTTTGACGTAATGAAAACACTTCTGATTTACTCATTCATGATAAACAATGGTTCGAATTGGATCGATGATTTGAAAACTGGAAAACATGCAAATTCACCAACGTCGTAAACCGCTACGTTCTCAAACATCCATGGAGAAGGCTAAAATGATCAGGCGAAATATTGTGTGCTTTACATTTGATGAATTTCATGATTTAAGTCAAAAACTATTACAACTAACAGGAAACGTAGTCATCAGCAAGTAGAATTAACCTTTTCATTTGCTTTTGATGTGACTTCCTGTAGCACCAGAAGCCTGTAATGAAGCACAGCACTACCAAGCCTGCAGCGGTAGCCAGTGATACGTACACTATCGTGTTGTTGACCTTCGAGGGTACTTCTTCTCCTGTCGCTGAAACTGCAAGAAAATATGCAAATCTGTGTTCACAGGCTTTCCCTATTATTTCACCTTCATGTAAGCTGACAAAGAACATTTCCAAGAATTTTTTCCTCGTCAATTTTACCTCAGCAGTGCAGGTGAAGAAAAAGGGAAAAAAAGACAAGACTATTCCGGAAAAGTACCTGTGTCCGAAAGATACCAAACCAGAATTTTTAATACGGAGAACTGTCAAAGAAAAACTTGCTGATTGTGAATTTCCTTATGTTGTTGACTTTAAAGGATTTCTATTCAGGAAATCACATGAACCTCAAGGGAATTCTGCACCGGAAGATTTTCTTTGAGAATAACCGTTTTCTGCCAACGTATTTGGCGGGTAACATCTCATAGACAAACGCTTTCGCTAAACCAAATTTAACATTCTAAGTTTAAACGAAGTTTTTCTATAAACTCTCCTATCAACATCTTCCTCCTGTGTTGGTAAACTCAACAGGAACGTTTTTGCTCATGTTTACCTTCGTTGCAAAGATTTTTGCCACAACATCGCACTTGGCAAGCATCACTTGACTCAACGCAACCAGCCAAAAAATATCCAGTGTTGTTACAGTTTAAGTGATAAGTGCACCCATACTCAAAGTGCTTAGTGACGCTGGATCCATCCCGTGAGGTCTGTTGCATCGAGGCATGATAACAGCGATCAGCCCTTGAACTCATACAGACGTGTTCATGGCGTCTTTTTTGGCATTCGTCGTGGGAAACAGTGCTGCTGCATTTGAAACAACTCAACTTCGATTCTACAATGAAGAAATTTGTTCGATTAGATGACTATATACAAAACTATTGCCAGTATTGTATTGTTAATAATCATGCAATTCAGCCTTATTAGGCTGCCATGCGATTTTTATTAAAGCTATCTATCTATCTATCTATTTATCTATCTTGTTCCATGCATAGCATCCGTATATCGATCGAGTTATGGATGCACGCGGAAAGTTTGGAGAGTGCGAGAGAAACACTTGCTTCTTGAGTCCTCCCCGAACTTCCCGAGGGTGTCCATGACTTGATATACGCACAGCTAAAGCAACAACCAATTCCTTTATAACAGAGCATGCCGACACAAGTTATGCTCGAAAAAAAAGGGTTATTACAACTAAGTCGGGTTGAAAAGGTAATCGTGTCCTACCCGGAAACTATGAATGAAACGACCAAGAAATATTTCAAGACCAAATCTTTATTCAAAGAATTGTTAATTTTCTGCTCAGAAGCGAAAAACGAACGAATTTCTTGTATGCAGGTGACCACGTAGTAGATTCAGCATGCTTGAATCTTTGTTTACTAAAATCTACGGCCAGAATATTGTGTAGGTTTGACGGTGTTGTAAATTTTTAAAACTTATGAAATTAAAGGGTTTTTAAATCTTCTATTGAACAATACTTTAATATTAAAGGAAATGTTAAAATTTAAAAATAATGTCAACCGTCCGAAGACGAATTTCTTGCATTTACGAGTCACGTGTATTAGATTTACCCTGCTTGAATTGTTGTTCACTATAGTTTACGACCATAAAATTGCGTAGCTTTCTATTGAAAACTGTACGATTTCAAAACATTGAACAACATTTAGTGTGGATATCGATGCTTGAAAACAACATTTACCGTTCTAATGAAGAGTTCCCAAAGTCGCACAGTCTCAGTTGAAGTCAGAAAGCTCAGTTTTTTTTCAGCCATAATTCGCATTGCGTTTGGGAATGAAGTATAGTCAACTCCAAAATTAATTTCGTCGCTTGAAAGAACTTCATGCTCATTTTTTTTCTAAACGAGTATTATTTAGCATATCTACTTTTCATTTTGAGCCCTAAAAGTTCTATTTCAATGGGGATGTAACGGAAAAAAATTTGAAATCTTTGAAACATGCGGCTAAACACGACGGGAACTTTCAGCCGAAGCGAAATTGCACACGTCGTGTGTTGGATGCACGGCCGTGCGGTACATATGGAGTTTTAGCATGGTAGTTCCATAGGAAGTAAGAAGGCTTTGCGCGTGCGGTATCTTATAATATTAGATGATCAACTTGGTTATTTTTCTCAGTAGGGATGGGTTTTGACTTCTTATAAACTGAGGAAGAGAAATGATACGCGCATTTCGGCTACACTTAAAGCGATTCATCATACTGTTGTCATCATGTATATCTAAGTTTTGTATATTTTTTGTTGCAAATTTCTTCAGTAGAATTACTGTAACAGAGGTCAGCATTCTCTCATACCTTCATTTAAAAAATTTGATAGATAGAGTAATAGTAATGACTGATTGATCGAAATTAACTTGAGATCAACGTATAGCAACATGTAACAGCAAGACTCATGAACAAGAACCTACATACAATAAAAGAAAGAAAATGAGAATGGAAAAAAAAGCTAAAGTTGTAATTACCTTTGTTACACAAGTTGTCGTCACAGCATTCCACAAATGATTTATCAGACGTGACTTTGCACTCTTCAGTTGCGGCGCACCCTTTGTAAAATTTTTGGTAGTTGCCTCTGTTGGAATATTTGAGTTTGACACAGCGGTTCCTTGGCAACGTACAGGACACTTCTGTTTGCTTCCTGGCACAGTCAGCAAATGATACGTTGCTTGTGCAATGGTGACAGATGATAACTGAATGAAAAAAAAAAAACTTGGAGCTACATCATTTTCTTCTGCAAGATGTTGGCAGACATTTTGCTAAGTAACGAAGTGGTCTGACTATTCTTCACCGATTAACTAAAGTTAATTTCATACGTTGCAAAATCAGGCATTGAAGGGATTGAACCCATGCTATACCTCAAGTATACCAGTTAGGCGCCGTTACCAATGGGACCACGAAGCCAGATATTGAAAGGGGGAAAAACTGGCCCTAACATCAAAATTTGCCATCAAGGTGCACCATTAACATCTACCTCTTTGGTCCCCTCGTCATGTCAGGAACCTTTGGTATCCAGCCTTGCACTAGCCATGGGCAGAAACCTGATTTACGCTTACCTTTATTGCAGAGGTTGTTTTCACAGCATTCTACAGAGTCCTTCTTTTCTTTTGTACACCGATCTGCTGAGGTACATCCTTTGTAGAAGACGGCGGCTTGTTCATTGTCGTCTTGTGTCGAATTTCTCTCCTTAAAGCAATACTGTTGTGGAAATGAACAGTTGACTACAACCTGTTGGGCTTCGCAGTCGGTGAAAGACGAGTTACTTGAGCACTGAAAACATGCAATACCTGAGAAAAAAATGATCATTTGATTGGTCAACGGTTTGAAAGAATATTTTTTTTTCCTTTTTTGTATATTTGCTATAGTACATAACGTTTTTTCTCCGTCATGCCTGTTTTATTGTACAGTACGTGTCAGTTGCGGATGCTGTTAGATTGCTTATTGGACCCAGTTTTTTCGTGGGAAAAAAAGTCAAATGCGATGTTTTAAGGGTATTGTTTTGATTAATTAATAAAAGGACTTAAATTTGTAATGTGTCGGCGATCAACAAATCACTTGTATGATAACAGGCCAAATCGGATTCTAGTCAGTCTGTTACCCGAAGAGGCTATCGCAATTTTTTTTGTTTTGAAGATCATTTTTTTTGCTTACCACTGGCCGGCCGTTCACAGATATACAGAAACCAACGATCGCACTTCTGATCTTTCCACAAACCGAAGTATTTTTCAGCACCCACGACCACGCAATCTTCGCTATCGTTCCAGTTGTCAGGCTGTCTCTTTGCCCAATTAGTGAAGTTGACGGTACTGTTATCCACTTCCCACACAAATCTTCCTTCGTGATGGATGTCACTGAGGCCAATCCACACGTACTACAGAATAAAATGTCTTGCTTAAAAGCAAACCATCAGGGTGCGTCACAGCCTCATACACTGTGCAAAACGTTTATGTTATTGATTTAAAAATATTTTATCACACCCGAGTGATCCAAGGTAATTCAGAAGATGAAACAATTTGGGCGTGGTTTGACCTCTCAATATCTTTAAACTCGAATTTCTGAGCAGTATCTTACAAAACAAAAGCAAATCCGGAAA